ACCAGGATGGTCTTGATCTCTTGACCTCGTGATCCACCCGCCTCGGCCTCCCAAAGTGCTGGGATTACAGGCTTGAGTCACCATGCCCGGCTTAAGCAATTCTTGTTGTACCTCAGCCTCCTGAGTAGTTGGGACTACAGGCGCGCACCACCATGCCCAGCTAATTTTTGTATTTTTAGTACAGATGAGGTTTCACCATGTTGAGCAGAATGGTTTTGGTCACTTGACCTCCTGATCCACCTGCCTCAGCCTCCCAAAGTGCTGGGATTACAGGCATTAGCCACCACGCCCAGTCTATTTTAAACTTTTTAGAAACACGGTCACGCTGTGTCACCCGGGCTGGAGAGCAGTGGTGTGATCATGACTCACTGCAGCCTTGAGTTTCTGGCTTAAGCAATCGTCCTGCCTCAACTTCCTCAGTAGCTGGGACCACAGGAATGAGCCACCGTGCCTGGTCTAAAGAGCCTCTTACCTTTGAGAATCTAACAGTTTTGAGGAGAAAGGCACAAGTAAAAGAGATGTATTAACAACAAGACTGCAAGACTGGCCTCCAAATCTCTAAATGATATTGTAGAGAAGAGTCAAGCACCAGAAGAGAGAGGAGTTGAATTAGGATCCTAATCAATCCCTAGAATTTGGATAATGCTGACTCTTTGCATCCTTGTAAAATATAATAGAGTGCTTTGCTGGTGGGTGACGAATAAAATGAATGAATAAAATGACTGGTGGCCATGTTATCCCCTTAAATCTTTTTATATGTGTTTTACTGAGATGGGATCTTACAAATATGAAGACTTTTCTTTAAAGAGGTGGTAGATAAGAAAACGAGAGGCTCACCTGCCTTTGTTGATTTTGAGACAAAAAAAGATAGTTGGAACACTGTTTTCCCCTACGTTTTAGTCTTTCAAATCTCAGATTTATTCTATTATTTATCCAAAACAGGATTCTGACTATGTTAAAGGGGAAGACACTGCTGCCTTCTCGGATTTCTTTCTTTTTTTTTTTTAGACAAAGTCTTGCTCTGTCTTCTAGGCTGGAGTGCGGTGGCGCCATCTCAGCTCACTACAACCTCCACCTCCTGGGTACAAGTGATTCTCCCAGCTCAGCCTCCCGAGTAGTTGGGATTACAGATGCCTGACACCACGCCCGGCTTTTCTGAGATGGAATCTTGCCATGTCGCCCAGGCTGGAGTGCAATGGTGCAATCTCGGCTCACTGCAACCTCCGCCTCCCAGGTTCAAGTGATTCTCCTGCCTCAGCCTCCTGAGTAGCTGGGATTACAGGTGCATCCCATCACTCCCGGCTAATTTTTTTTCATATTTTTAGTAGAGATGGAGTTTTACCATGTTAGCCATGCTGGTCTCAAACTCCTGACCTCATGTGATCTGCCCGCCTTGGCCTCCCAAAATGCTGGGATTACAGGTGTGAGCTACACCCGGCCTAGGATTTCAATCACAAAAGATTAAAAAATTCCTAAAGTGTATTTTCTCCATAATGTTATCTATACATTTAGTTAGAATATTATTAAAGTTATTTAGCTCTTAGCCTGCATTTCCAATCTGTGGGAATAAACTACTTTATCTTCGTCTTTCAAGTTCTAGGATGATAGGAATTTTGTTTACCAAATGGAATCCTCCATGAATTTATAATTATTGATCATAGCCACTGCTCTTCCTCTAGCCTAACTTTATATGGTTTTCTAATTCTAACGCTATACCTTCTTAACCATTTCAGGTACACTTACATAGGTCTGCACCAATATGTCATATTCTGCTGCAGTAAAAGGAGACATTAAGTCATGGGGAGTAACAACAACAGAAATGAGAGTGGTCTATTAATACTATCCACCAAAGTATAGAGGAAGCAGATACGGTAATCCCACACGCCACACAAAACAGAATAAGAATAAGGAGTTGTCTCAGTTTTTAGTACCAACATATCAACATTACAAACAAGTTTAATCTGAGTATATGAAAAAAAGTGAAGTTTCTATGTATAATAAAAACAATATAATAGTCTTTTTCAAAGCTGTAGAGAATGCTACAGTTTGAGATTTTATAATTTCTGTGAAGAGGAATATAAGAGAAGGCAACCCTGTCGAAAAGTTTAATATGTCTTTACTATATTCAAAACCCTTGGGAAAAAAAAAAAAAGCAACAATGAGACCATGTCTCATATTAATGTTGCCCTTTCTGTTTTCCTTTGGTAAATACATGACCACTGGGTAAAGTACAAGTGTAAGTTTTGCTCCATAATACCTTCTTAAAATTAATTAAATTAATTCTCTAATGCCTCAAGTGTCCTTATATGTTTATCTATAGGAAATATTACAGGCTTATTTATAAGAAGTATTACAGAATGAACCTAGGAAAGTAGGAGAAAGTGAATTGGCATATATCCAAATAAATTTCAGAGTAAAATTTACAATAATATTTAATAGAAATGTACTAGGTTCTAGGATGCTGACTGGAAATCTATTCCATGTATAATATCCAGTCTAATTTTTTTTTTTTTTTTTTTTTTTTTTTTTGAGGTGGAGTCTTGCTCTGTAGCCCAGGCTGGAATGCAGTGGCGCGATCTCAGCTCACTGCAACCTCCACCACCTGGGTCCCGGTTCAAGCAATTCTCCTACCTCCGCCTCCCAAGTAGCTGGGATTACAGGCATGAGTCACCATGCCCAGCTAATTTTTGTATTTTTTAGTAGAGATGGGGTTTCACCATATTGGCCAGTCTGGTCTTGAATTCCTAACCTTGTGATCCGCCCACCTTGGCCTCCCAAAGTGCTGGGATTACTGGTGTGAGCCACTGTGCTTGGCCCCAGTCTAATCTTAATCAACAGAGTCAGTATTTTTCTCTTCAAAACTTTTAATGAAGATGTAAATAAGTAGAAAATTTGACCCATGCAAAATATTTCCTTCATATTCCAAGTGTTAGCATAAAAGAAAATGGCTGAAAGATAGGCCCAAAATACAGATGCTTGGTTTATTTTCAAGTATGATCCACTCTAATAATGCCATTTGGATAAGATGAATTTATTAAGAGAAGGATAAATTTGGAAAGACATCTTAGTAAAGTCATTGGTCAAATATCAATAAAGAGTAGATGGAAATAAACACAGCTATTTACTTACTTTCAAAATAAAAAGAAGATAATGTATGTTTGTGTGTTTTTAAATTTTCATCTTCCCAGCTCCCCAAAGACCAAGAATTGAATGACAACCAGGGTCTCTGGTTCCTGGAACTTATTACATCTTCATTCTCATGAGGTAGGTTTGGCTCCACGTTAGTAGGTGGAAATCTGGGTGCCAAGTAGTTAAGTGAACCTCTCAGACTCACCCTAGAAATGAATAATGACAAAGCCAAGGCAAAAATCCAAAATATTATGATAGATCTGTATTGATATCTTTAGTCCAAATTATTTTTTATTTATCAACTTGCCATTAAGAAGCTGAATCAGGGTAACAGGTAACGCCAGTATCTATTAGGATCTGTCTCTGGTACTGAAAATGAAGGAAGGAAACCAAGACTATTTAGGCTTTAAAAAAAAAAAAAAAAAAGATGAAATCTCACTCTGTCACCCAGGCTGGAGTACAGTGGCGTGATCTCAGCTCACTGTAACCTCTGCCTCCCAGGTTCAAGTGATCCTCCTCCCTCAGCCTCCCAAATAGCTGGGATTACAGGTGTGCACAACCATGCCCAGCTAATTTTCGTATTTTTAGTAGAGATGGGGTTTCACCATGTTGCCCAGGCTGGTCTCGAACACCTGACCTCAGGTGATCCACCCGCTTAAGCCTCCCAAAGTGCTAGGATTACAGGTATGAGCTACCACACCCAGCCTATTTACACTTTATATTGCAAATATTGGCAACATTACCTTTAGGTAATACAAAGCTGGAATGCTCAATATTTTTCCTCTGATAACTGTGATGGGTATCTTTTGATCCTGCATTGGTCAGCTTTGTCCAATACAAGGGCTTGGCCATTCTCCTCTTAATCATTTTTACTTATTGATAGAAGAAATGGCCTCTCCTTTGTCAATAAAAATCTCCAAGGACTCTTGCTGCATTTCAGAAAACTAAAAAGTATCATTAACTTAGACTTTTAATGGATTTGGAATAACTCCAATACAAAGAGAAACAAAATTCAGGGTGAAGTTTACAATAATAATTAATAAAAAGCTGTGCATAAAGATGAAAATTGGAAATTCAGGAATTATAATCTGAAACAGTTATAAAAGTATAAAATTCTGATTATTTCCTTTTAATTCCTTAAAAAAAGATTTAAAATAATCTAACCAATTCTATAGTTCCATTTGTTATTTCATTAAGGAAAGCTCTTGTATCTTTATTTCCTAGAGAGTACTTATGATTATTACTTTCTGTGGTAGAGAACAGTTTTGTAATATTTCAGGTCTCTCTTATTATGAATGAATCAATAAATATGCTTATTTACAAAATGTATACTATAAATAGACATAGCCTGTGACATAAAAGATATATATATATATATATATATACACAACTTTTAAATTTAAACCTGGTCCTTGCTTCTTTTTACATTTCTTGGGAAAGACTATAATGAGAGTAGCAGTTTTCAGGAAATACCAGATAATTATTTCTACATGTCTCCAGAGATAAGAGAACAATACTGGTGGATGTTGAAGGACAAAAGATTCTTGTCTTTACTGTTCCTTTTATGCTCTAAGAGGCCATCGTCTCAAAAACAAAAAGTCTTGTTGAGAAGTTTCATCAACTGAAGAGCATTGAGAAGTAAAATAAAGTATAATAATCTTAGTTTGATAACCCTATAAACTCAGATTTCAAAACAAATATTTGAGACATTAATCAAATCATCCATATTGGTACATTCAAGTGCCATAAAAATCAAGCTACATGCAAAGTTTCATCAATATCGAGGTAAAAAAATAACAGGTTAGGCATGTGAATTGTGTCCTGAAGAGAGAAAGTGCTCACATTTACTTCGGTTAAATCTTATAAGTCAACATGCAAACAGAGGACACATACTTGTCACAACAGAACTTTAGATCACAAAGCCATTGATTAAAAACAACTGATTTCAACACAAGTGCAAGAACAAACAGGTCTGAAGTATATCAGGAAAACAAAGTATATCAATATATATTTTAAGCTTAGCAATAGCTAAATACTGCTGCTAGTTATATAACTAGTAAAGCCACAAAGAAGTAACACAGTATCTTAATTCAGAGAAGAATTTATGTACAGATCTTGAGTAAATCTGTATTCCAGGACTTTTAAAGATAGGTAGAGTAGTCTGAGAATTTCAGTCCTGCCTGGAGGCTAAGGGGCACCAGCACCATTTTCCTTAAACCATACCAACACTCTACGTGTGAAAAGATGGCATGTAATCTTTGAAGATCTGCTCTATATATCAGGCAGGATAAAGTTGGCTGTCCCTGTACAGCTCAGAATACTCATAAAAAGGCCACAGAAGTCAAAAGCCCTTTTCCAGAAAAGACTTTTGTATATACTGGTTTGATATCCTAAGAAAAGGAGTGGTTATGGATTTGTAGATTAAAACGTTATCATTTTAAGGCTTCTGAAAGGTTAGCAAGTTGAAATTTTTTCTTAAACTATGAAGCCCATGCCAAACAAATTACTATAGAGGATTAGGAAAATATTCCATCAAATATATCTAGAGAGTATCTTGGTTTGTGTGAGACATTGGATAGAAGGACATAATAATAGTAAACAGTAAACGTGCAAGATAAAAGAGTTAAAGCTTTTGGGAAGATTACCAACCTGCCATATGCTTAATTCTGATTTGTTTAAACTTATTAAACTTCAGTGCAGAAAAGCTGGCTTTCGGCAGTCCATTGCTACTCCTTTGTACCCCATAATACATACTCTACAAAGTGTAACATTTGACGGAAAAATGATCACAAGAGCTCCCCTAGGACAGTGAACTATCAAGATCAGAGGGCATCATACAGCAATAACACAGTTGAAGCCAAGGACAAACGTTCAATCAGTGGTCTTGACATTTCAGATGAGCACCCTGTTTTCTGATCACAGAAAGACCAACCACCAAATAGCCAATGCAAGGACCACAAGAAAAGACATCATGAAAGGAATACGAGGAGATGGAAAAGTACTAAAGTAGAGGTGGCACTTTTTGAGAGACTTGTGATCCTCAGGGATTGGAATAGAAACCTTGGGAAGAACTTCTTCATTTTCTTGCTGGGGCAAGGCGCTTTCAGTGGATCTTTCTTGCCTTTTAATTTTCTCTTCATCCTGTACTAACAGAGCACGTTCCTGTGTCTGCTTTCACGGTAGAAGATCAAGAAAGACAGAATAAGATGAACAAAATGACAGATGGAAAATGCTCAAAAATGATACTTGGGGATGTGCAAAGGATTTGGAAAGATCTAGACACTACTTTAGCTTTACTTTATTTTGGCAATTTATCTTGGCAAAGTTTCTGAGACATAGTAGGGTGCTCAATAGATACCTTTATGAGTGAATGAACATTAGAACTGAAAGTTCAAGGAATCACTGGTTTTCCCCTAGTTATATTATTTATTCTTCCTTTGAGGATATTCACATATTAATTTTAGGTCATTTTCTATTACCTTGGTGCTGCCAATCACTAATCAGGCAATGCCAATAATGAAGCATTCTTCTTGCCATCATAAAAGTTACTTTTATTACAAATAGAATGGCAGAATATAAAAAGTAATCCTCATATCTCTTCGTAGGCTTTAAAAATGGCAACAGTTCATTCAGTATAGTAATTAGTTTTTGCTCAAGAAATAAAAATCTTAATCTTACACATTTTTAAAGACTGCAAAAGAAAAACAAGGTATAAAAGTTTATAATGTGCCTCCAAGGTTCACCAAAACAAATAAATAATAATGATACTTTTAAGGAAAGCCCCCCCCCCCACAATTGTCCAATTGAGAAGCTTTTCTTCCTCCTGCAATTTCTGTACTCTGCTATCCATAGTCAAGGCAGATGTTATCTATGAAAGGAAAAACTTGGCTCTAAGTTCTCTCAGTTGAGTTAGCCTTCTCTGATCAGTTTGGAAGTTCAACACCGGTTCTTTGCACACCCCTAAGTGATATGTATCAGGGAGAAAGTAGCCAGGGGACTGGTCAGCAAAAAAGAAACAAAGGAAAAGAAAAGATGCAAAATTACAATGATTTTTGAAAGAAAATAAAGGTGGAGAAGAAAGACAACATAAAAAGAATAGGGTATAATTAAATTCATTTTCTCTCTGAATACATATTTATATCTTCATGCAGCTTTTCAACCAGCCATGCGCCGAAATAAGCAATTGGAAAGCTGCAAAAGCTGCAGCAGTGGAAGTGTTAAGTGTTAGGCCAAAAGGCTGTGGGTGTGAATTTACTAGTATAGCCAAAAGAAAAAAAGTATTCAGCAGCTGTTGTTCAGTTCTGGAGGGATTATCTGCTTAGTGCCATGACAAGAGCAAATTCTGATTGAGAAGCACAAGTCATAACAGCAGCTTTACCTCTGGCCCACCAACCTTTCTTTCCGAGGGAAGGATAGAAGTTTTCTTCACCTGGTCATACACAAATTATATAAAATTCAGTTGCCTTGCAATGCAACAACAATGCTGTCAAAGGTGGAAGAGGTATCCCCAGAGAACAGAAATATTATTTCAATTGTTAAGAAAAAAGTAAGATATGCTAGAAAGTAGAATTATCCAATATTAAAGGTCACCATAGTACAGTGCTTATTTATTACATTATTCAGTTAGTATACAGCTAAAATTGTTCAAGCACTCCCATGGATCTAGTTTAGTTTATAAAAAGTCATTTCTTTAAAGAACACAGAATGACATCACCATTCCCAAAACCAGCCCCGAGATGATTTCTGAAAGGTTTCTATTAAAAGACATAAGATATTTTCTGGAAATGGAGACCAATTCAAATTTACCCAACCTCATCCAAGAGAGTACCAAGTCACTTTTTCAAAGTAGTTGAACATCTTTTATTACTTGCACAGAGTCAAAAAGAAAACTTCTAGAAAATATGCAGTCATAGTTTACAGATAGGGTTAACCAGGTGAAATAGCAACAAGGAATTTTCTCATGGAGTCACAGACTTAACAGAATTTTAGAGTTAACAGGGACCTTAAAGGTCATCTACTCTATAAACTGAGGTCCAATATGATAAATGACTTGTTCAGAATTGTTCAAGCCACAACTAGAACTACTAGACCCTTTATGACTCTTATTACTAGGGATGTATCAAAATTAAATATCTGACTGACACTGAAAAAAGTGGTCTTGCCCAGAAAGCAGAGTTATTGTCTCAGTTCAGGATATATGCTCTAGATTTAGAACACAAAACTAATATCCATTTATATCAGAAAACAGGGAGAGGACAGAGATTAGGAAACAATAGCGTCCTATCATCCCTGGTAATTCTATTTAGCTGCCCATCACTCAGGTACTCTCTAGCCTTATTTGTGAAACTGGTTCAACTCTGGAGAATTGTTAGCCAATTTTAGTCACGCTTTGAAAAATACAAAAAGTACCCTTTGTGAACCGACTTTTTTTTCTTTTTTTTTTTTTAAACAAGACAGAGTCTCACTCTGTTGTCCAGGCTGGACTGCAGTGGCACAATCTTGGCCCACTGCAATCTCTGCCTCCTGGGTTCAAGCTATTTTCCTGCTTCAGCCTACCGAGTAGCTGCGATTATAGGCGCCCACCACCACACCCAGCTAATCTTTTTGTATTTTTAGTAGAGATGGGGTTTTACCACGTTGGCCAGGCTGGTCTCAAACTACTGACCTCAGGTGACCCACCCACCTCAGTCTCCCAAAGTGCTAGGATTACAGGCACAAGCCACCACCCCAGTCTGTGAACCAACTTTCATCACCTTCTCCAGTTCCAGAAACTAAATAATAATTTGGATAGTTTACCATAAATTCTGAAAATAAAAAAAAAGTTTTAAAATTATTAAGACATCATTTTACCCCTTTTAACTAGAATTGCTATTATTTTGGGGGGGAAACAAGCACATAATTTTTAAATTATTATAATCACTAATTGAGTCATTGTGACTATATAAATATTTCACTTGTACTGACTAAAGATAAAAATTTTTGGGGTGTATGTTCATGGTAACTTTCAAGATATTTTCATTAAATGTTTAATAGATGAAAATACCTATTTAATAGATGAAAACAAATTTGTTATTGTTGTCATTACCTATTTCAGAAATCCTACATCTAAATAAATTTTAGAAATCCTACATCTGAATAAATGAATTATTACCTATTTTAGAAATCCTACATCTGAATAAATAACTGAATAATTCAGTTATTTATTCAGATGTAGGATTTCTAAAATAGGTAATGACAACAATAACAGAAAAAGAACAGCCCCTGAAAGGTATCTCTGGCCTCCTCTAATTGTGACTATCTTACAAAACACTGTATTAAAAGTTTAATGCTACTCATAAAGATAAAATAGTTTTTCTTTTCTTTTCTCTTTTTCTTTTTTGAGACAGGTTCTCACCCTGTCACCCAGGCTGGAGTGTAGTGGTGTAATCATGGCTCACTGCAGCCTTGATCTCCTGGGCTTAAGCAATCCTCCTGCTTCAGCCCCGAGTAGCTGGACTACAAAGGTGCACATCACAATACCTGACTAATTTTTGTATTTTTGTAGAGATGGGGTTTTGTCATGTTGCCCAGGTAAGTCTTAAACTCCTGGACTCAAGTGATCCGCCTGTCTTGGCCTCCCAAAGTGCTGGGATTACAAGCATGAGCCACCGCACCCACCAATAAATAGTTTTTCTAAAATTGAAATACAATCATTACTATTTGAAGTTCTGAATTCTCTTGCTTAGGGGTCTCCTTGGTTTACTATATAATTGTGGGCAACCATTCCAGATATTTCTTTCTTTCTTTCTTTTTTAGGCGGAGTCTTATTCTGTCTCCAGGGCTGGAGTGTAGTGGTGCAATCTCGGCTAACTGCAACCTCTGCCTCCCAGATTCAAGCAATCCTCCAGCCTCAGCCTCCTGAGTAGCTGAGATTATAGGTGCCCGCCACTACACCCAGCTAATTTTTTGTATTTTTGGTAGAGATGGGGTTTCACCATGATTACCAGGCTCGTCTCGAACCTCTGATCTTGTGATCATCCTCCTTGGCCTCCTAAAATGCTAGGATTACAGGCGTGAGCAACCCTGCCCAGCCCTAGATATTTCTAAGTTGTGCAAATGTTCAAATAAAGCTTTTTAAAATGACTAGTCTCTTTTCTATTTTGACCTTCCTAAATTTAGTAAACTTTCTAGTCCCTGAAAGCAGTTTGAATACAAACAAACTTCTACTGGCTTATGGTCAATTTATAAACATATAGTAGCCAGAAGCATGTAGCTGCAGAGATAGTTCTTAGAGGCAAATCATGGCTCCAAATGGTTCCTATAGTTGGACTGGGTAGCCTACATGACTTAAAAAAATAAATAAATATTTGATTGCAAATGCCTGAAAGCAGCAATTAATTTAGTGAGGCACCAAATCTAAATTTCAGCTCTGAAGCTTTCTCTCAGATACAGAATATTAATACATAAAAACATTTATTCTCTCCATTTTCACAAATGGTCATGTAGACAAAGTACTCACTCCTTCTCCTGTGGGGATTTGTCCATTGATGTTAAGAGTTCGGAAGGGGGAGTGAGTGGATAAGCGTTTATCCCATTCACTAGGCCGTGGTTCTGGTACAGACTCCATGAAGTTCTTTTTCAGCTCACTGATGCTGGCATGGTGTTTTTTGATCTCCTCTTGACTCTTGTCTAAATCCTACAGTTGAAAGGACAAAGATGCAAAACAACGCATAATCAAGACAAGAAATACACCAAGGGCAATCCATCAGAGACTGGGCACTGGTAGAAAACATACCACATCCAGGGCAGATGTTACTAATCATAAACTGCATTCAAATTATAAATATACAACATGGTATATTTGCTTGTCTTTTTTTTCTTTAAATAAAGTGCTTTTCTTGGAAGCTGTGAAGTATCACAACTCCATAGCTGTTAGCAGTTATATAACCCATAAAGAGCTCACGCATTAATTTATGATTCTTCTTCCCATTATGACACAGCACCAGATTTCTAACTCCTCATCCCAAGAAGGTACTTCCACTACTCAATTAAACTCACCTTGATAAATTATTTTAGACTCAGCTCAGCAGGATGGAGATAGCAATAGACAAACTGTTTAATGAAGGCATGGTGAAACATATGACTTCCACCATTGGCTATCTTGTCTTGTTGAGTGGCAAACAAGTACCCTTCTATTTATACCTAGAAATGGTTTTACTTCTCTATTACTAGGTAGTTGTTTTTGCTTTTTGAGGAACAAGAATAGCCCTTTTTTGATGTAAGAATGTATTACTGAAATTCCTAAAGACTCCAGAGCAGACTGTTACTATCTCTGAAAAATCACTCAGAGGTACATAATACAATGCCTTTTTTCTTTATCAATAATATGCACATAAACTAAAAGTGTTAGGCTTTCTAGCTTCTAACAGCTTCACTTCATTCCTTAGTACAATTCAAAACAGGGACTTCTTGCAATAACCTTCAAAGGATTAGGAGTGAGTTAATAAGAGTTCACAAAATACCTAAGATATCTCCTTGACAATTTGAAATAATTCAACTATTCCAGCAGATTAAAAATTTTTTTTAAAATTTTTATGGGTATATAGTAGGTGTATATTCTAGCAAATTTGAATACTGGGCAACCTGAGTTTCAAGCAAGCTATTAAAGGGACATTCCAGGGAGACATGAACAAAGTTTAGGTTAATAAAGCATGAGCTAGAAATAATATTCAGGTTTACGTAAAAGGAGACATATAACAACTTTCAAAAGGGGACTTGGCCAAAAATAGTCTGGTAAATATAACTTGAAGACAAAAACTCAAATGTTCTTTGTCCAACAACACTTCAAAAAACCTTAAAAGATCTATGCTTGAGATCAAAACATGTGGGAGCCCATCACTTGATGACTGTAAAAAATTCTGTGTTTATTATACATCAAGGCAGCTCTGTAACCAAGAAAAGCATAATGCTAAATACATCTCCTAATATGCTAGGTGAATTGTGGGATTAGTCTTTCTTTTTTGGCTCTGTAGGAAACAGCTGTATTGGAGTAAAAAATTAGAATTCTCCCTGGTAGTTTAGTGGTTAGGATTCAGAAAAAAAAATTAGAATTCATTTAAATCAAAATTTGTTTATAAGTTCTTTTCTGAGGGTAATATAGATTTTAACTAAATAAAACTTTTTCAAAAGCAATGTCAAAGGGAAAACAGCATAAGAACAATAATCAGTGAGATGATTTTGATTCTGGAGATATTCATTCAGAAAATTCATTAACTAGTCTATTCTTTTTATTTTTGCAAGACTGAACCATGTATACCTGCTTTGAGATCAAACAGAAAGCTAACTCCAGAAGGGTGATCCTGTAGCTACCCTAGAAGAGTGTTTTGCTTGCTGAGATGAAATGTGAGTATATTTATGAATATGGACTTCACTGCAGGGGAAACAACAGTTTGCACTTTTGTTCTAGCTGAAAGAAAGCAAGCATGTCTACTAACTAAAGAAAAGCATGAGCAAGCCCATTCAAAGACTCAGTGTTGGACTGAGCAACCAGACGCACTCGGCATGTAAGGTCCCGTGACCCAGCTCCTCACTGGAAATTAAATCTGTTTGGGCCAAGAACAACTTAATACATTTGGGAGGGTTAAAAGTGTGAATGGAGCAAAACAAAAATGAGCAAGAGATGCTATGTAAAACAATATCTCTCTGAGTTAACCTTTTAACTTGTGATTTGCTACTCTTCTTGCCTAGCTTTGGATTGGCTTGGAACCTGAGAAAATAAATGTTCTGGTAAAACCAGTAGCTTCTGAGGGAGCTTTCTCCATCCTTCTTAGCTGGTTTTGTTAGAAACCTGTGGGGGCACAGAGTAAAATTAAGATCTCAAAGGGACCTGTTCCAAATAGAATTTGTCATAGACAACTTGCTACAGGTTCTCTCTGGGAGATGGAGGAGGAGGCGGTAGCTCTAAAAATGAACTCGACCTTATTTGTGCCAGAACAAAGCATTAGTGGGGGCGGGGTAGAAGAAGGGGGAGGAGAGATGCTTAGGAAAAAAAAACCTGCTAGGGTGACAGATAACTTGAGAGAACTTCTTTAGAAGGGGAAAAAACTTTATAATAACTAAAGAATGATGGTCAAATTACTTTGGCTGTGTTCAGGTTAGACACTTTTTGATGCCTGTCATTTCATAATTTTAGCAGCAACCAAACACTTCATTAAATATAAAATGTTCTCAAAAGGCAGTTAGTAGTTTTAATTTTCAAACACACTTATTTAGAAATCCCCTCTCATGGCTGTCAATGAAATGCTGAGGGAAAAACACACCACACGCAGGGACTTTGTGACTCTCAGAAGCCAGAACACACCTCATGGAACAAACGACAAATATATGATTGGTACTGCAGGTTCCAGTTAAGAGGAAGTACTGAAGATGAACTAGTCAAGAAATATGGATGTTTAGAATTTCAAGATGTTACATTGCCAAATACAGGAAATCAACCAACATTCACTATTCTTCCTGGTCTCTGAAGATGGAACTACTCAGGTCTAGTTTAAGATATGGGCTAAAACAAAGAGATCTAGTTGCCAAGTTTGAAATATCTGACAGTCCAGCCTTGGAAAACTTCATGTTAAACAAGACAAATACATGTGAAGCATTTGGTATTGCACCCACCATGCAATAAATGTTTAATAAAGGCTGGGCATAATTTTCCTGAAAAGTACTTGATACATAACAGGTACTCAAAACACAGATATTGACAAAGGATAAGATGAGGTTTAAATAATTATTAGAGGCTGTATATTAAGCCAGAGATCTGGTTTTTAAAGTTTAGGCTGGGTCCACTGGCTCAAGCCTGTAATCTCAGCACTTTGGGAGGCCGAAGCAGCAGGATCACTTGAGTCCAGGAGTTCAAGACCAGCCTGGGCAACATACTGAGATCCTGTCTCTATCAGAAATGTAAAAATTAGCTGGGCATTGTGGTATGCACCCATAGTCCCAGCTACTCAGGAGATTGAGATGGGAGGAGCCTGGAAGGCTGAGATGCCATGTCGGAAAATAATCTTACAACTCCTACAGCAGACAGCACGTTGCTATTTCTGAGTGGAAAATAGTGTAGTTTAATAGAGTTGGATAGATCCTAACTTACATCTTGGCTTTATCAGTTCTGTGACCATAGGGAAATTACTTAATTTGAGCTTCAATTTTCTCATCTTTTTTTCTTTTTTTTTTTTAAAGAGACGGAGTTTCACCATGTTGGCCAGGCTGGTCTTGAACTTCTGACCTCAAGTGTTCCACCCATCTCGGCCTCCCAAAGTGCTGGGATTACAGGCGTGAGCCACCGTGCCCAGCCCGATTTTCCATCTTTAAAACAATCTCAGACTCACAGGCCCGTTTTTATGATTAAGCTATCTTATAGTAACTACTCAGTAAATGCTAGGCTTCCTTCTTTCCTTCTTATATTTTGCTTTTCTTCCCCCACAGTTCTTCTGTCATTTTCCTACTATCTTCAATATTTTAAGTCCATTCCAAATTCCCTACTTTTTCACACTATCTTAGTTCAGAAAATGAAAGAATAGTGTAAATTTGCATTTGGGACAGATGCAAGCTTATACTCTTGAAAAATTAAAGGAACTTATAGCAATGATATAGAATTTTCTAAAGGTGGATAAAACAATGGAACCATGAGAGATAGGGTAGTCCCAATCATATATTTTACCAGGTTAAGTATGATAGATGGAAACTAAAAAGAATCAGAAGGCGAGCTATTTGCATATCTTCATGTTCTCCAACATGCAAAAGCATTTTAAACCTAAAGTTCCTTCATGCAATGGCATGCAAAACCAAATGCAGCACAGAATGAAGAAAAGGGGATCAGCAAAGAATGCAGAAGGTTCCAGGCAACCAACTGAAATAAGCTTCAAGTTCATACAAACCTCCAACATTAAATTGCTATGTCTGATATAAATGTTTTCACCATCTAGTCTTTCTCTTTTTTTCTGTGAAAATGAAAGGGGGGAAAAACAGAAAAGCATAACAAATTAAAATGTTGTTCTTGCAGGAAAAAACTGAAAATTGGCAAACCAAAAAATATTTAAAATTAAACGTCCACAGCGCAGCATATGCCAATATGAAATGGTCAGAGAATCACAAGGACACACAGAGGACATGATTACCATGAGAAAATGATGACCTTGTTCATGAATGATGAAAGAATGTGATGATGTTATTTAAATAGACAGTGCTCCTGGCTTCATTGGCTTCTTATGTAATAAGCTGTTTTATGTTCATTTTTGAAATTAAACTGTTTGAGTTGGGTAGATCCTAACTTACATCTCTAAAACATATGACTTTAAAAAATGCTGAAATTCTATGTACCATGGAGTGAAGAAATGCTTTAAAAACATTATTTAGCTTTTGGGATATATTTCATACTTAGCAACACTGCAGTATCTAAATCTCTAATACCTTTTATAAGAAAGATATAAGAAAGGTGATCATTTTATACATGATCAGCCAATAAATATATTTAGTTAACTGATTTAAACTGATTCATCCCACTCTATAGATGAAAAGAATGAGACACAGAGAAGTCAAACCCATAGTTATAAATAATACTGGTAGCTGCTGCGAAAGTGGGTGTTTTTTTTTAACACAGGGTCTTACTGTGTCACCCACGCTGGAATGTAGTGGTGCAGTCGTGGCTCACTGCAGCCTCAACCTTCTGGACTCAAGTGATCCTCCTGCCTCAGCCTCCCAAGTAGCTGGGACCACAGGAGCACATCACCATGCCCGGTTAATTTATTTTTATTTTTGGAAGAGGCGGGGCCTCCCTAAGTCTTGTCCAGGCTGGTCTTGAACTCCTGGGCTCAAGGGATCCTCTTGCCTCGACCTCCCAAAGTGCTGGGATTACAAGTATGAGCCATCTGTAATCCCAGCTATGATGATTTTCATTTTATGATAAATGTGTATAAAATATTATCAATGATTCCAAGAATATGATGTCATTATGAAATAGTTCTTATGTTAAATATAAAAGATAGGTTTGACTCTCACTGATTATTTCATTTTGCTTAAAAAGATATTTTGCTACTGAAAAGTTTAATGAAACTTTTCAATATACAGTACAGGATTATGCCTTCTTCAGTGTATGCAAATATATGTGTATATACATATCTGTTATTTGTTTTGGGGTTTCTTTTTTTTTTTTGAGACAGGGTCTTCCTCTATTACTCAGGCTGGAGCACAGTGGCTCGATCTCAGCTCACTGCAACCTCTACCTCCTGGGTTCAAGTGATTCTCATGCCTCAGCCTCCCAAGCAGCTGAGATTAAAGTTGTGCACCAACACACCTGGCTAATTTTTGTATTTTTAGTAGAGAAGGAGTTTCGTCATGTTGTCCAGGCCAGTCTCAAACTCCTGACCTCAAGTGCTCTTCCTGCCTTGGCCTCCCAAAGTGCTGGGATTATAGGCATGAGCCAATGTGCCTGGCCCATATCCATTATTTGAAAGTATTAACAACTCCTGATTAAAAGAAATCAATGAAAAGAATGGATCACTGTCTTTTTAACGCATTGTAAGTCAGCATGGGTAAAATGGCAATGTAGTTTTATGAAAGTGAAAAATGGCTAACCTTCCTCATTCTTATCAGATCTTCAGTTTTTTCTGCAAGCTTCTGTTTTGCCATAATTTAAAAAAGACAGAAAAATGATAAAATGTTGCTCATTGAAGTTTGTTTGAACCTTCATTTTATAATTTTTTTTTAAGGAGAAGGGAGTAAGGGAGAAGAAAAAAACTGAGGCAGTGGAGGGAAAAAGGAATAAGTGGTCTGTTGGCACAAACCTCTGTTTGGTCACCATTTGAGGTGGGTACTGTCACCTCGATGTGGGATTTTTCCACCTACATTTAAGAAATAAAGTAGTAAAAACATTTTAGGTTAGTAGGTTTCTATGAATAGTGTTGTTTCCAAATAAGCTGCATCTTTAAGCTACTTGTAAAATATGCTGACATGTAATCATCATGATGCAGTCTTGTGGAGGGTGCTACAGGGAAGGATATTACTCCCAAAAGTCATCTGTGTTTACCATCACTTTTTCAAGGGCTAAAAAGGTAATATGGATATTCAAATTATCAAAAAAGAAAATTAAGGTAAGCATTCTATTGATGAAGAAAATATATTTTTATATTTATTTATAAAACAGTACCCACTAAAAAGAATGATTTAGGCCTATTTAATGCAACAGCCATGTTTGTGTTTTGCCTTTGAAAAATGATCTGGGCTGGGCATGGTGGCTCACACCTGTAATCCCAGCATTCTGGGAGGCCAAGGCGGGCAGATCACAAGGTCAGGAGTTTCTGACCAGCCTGACCAACATAGTGAAACTCCGTCTCTACTAAAAACACAAAAATTAGCTGGGCATGGTGGCACACGCCTGTAATCCCAGCTACTCAGGAGGCTGAGGCAGGAGAACCGCGTGAACCCAGGAGGTGGAGATTGCAGTGTGCTGAGATCGTGCTACTGAACTCCAGCTTGGGTGACAGCGAGACTCCATTCCAAAAAAAAAAAAAAGATCTGGAAGTACTTTAACAATTAATTAGCAAATTTACACATGAAGTTTTCAATGTATGACATATATGATAGGAGGAAAAAGAAAATCTTTACAGTTAAAGCACACATGTAATAAACCACATATGACACCAAACTGGTAAACACAAACGATTTTGTTAGTTGATCAATATACTTAAGGAGATATTTCATTCTTCAGTTTATTACACAACAAAACGTTACAATAAACCCAATTTAACTTGTAACTAACACATGCAATTACTCCCAGGACTGGTTTATAAACAAGCACATGCAGGATTCGGCAGCAACATTCAACACACTGCAATCTCTTCTAGGGAGTTGGAACCTATGTGTTTGGTAGAAGAGCAAGATTCATCCTTAGTATTAATAGAAAGAGAATAGCTAAGGTCTCCTGCCTTGCTTTGAAATACCTTTAGTAATGTCATTTTATATGTAGAAAATGGAGTAATTAATTTTTAAAAAAGCATACTATTAAGAGGGAGCATATTAGAGTGAGCAACGCCCAAAGCACTGGATATTTTAAATTAAAAAATTAATTGTTTTTACTAAGGCCAAATCACTTTGTATCATTAAGTTCTTTACAGAACCTGATCAATCTGTGGTGTTGATATTCTTTTTAATCACACTAAGCAGCATTACTTTGGAGTACAATGTCATTGTGCTATTTTCTCTAAATTTAGTCTAAAAAACCTAACAGATCACCAAACTTTGTGACAACATCAAGTATTAAGCACATCCTGCTACCGCACTTTAATTATCAGGGGTAATTAACGATTTTGGTCATTTCTACGCTGAGTCCCAGCATACTTGCTGTGTGGTCATTAACACATTTTTTACCCCAGACCTTAAATTTCTTACAGATAAAATGGAGATAATGTCTTTCTAGAATTGTACATTTAGCAAATGATAGTGTTAAATTATTTTACAAAGCTTAAATTCCTTCTCCAAATGAATAATTACTTCTTTTTGCTTCAGATCCTTATCAATCCAATAGCAGAAAACTGAGAGCCTCTACTTCAGTTTAAGAATTGAGGCCAAGTAGCAATAGTAGTTCTGTCTATGACCCTATATAGAACATTAAGTGAGATAACGATATACATGAGGGAGATAGTACCTACCACAGTACTTTCAGAATAGATCTCGTTAAAGTGACAACAAAAAGCTATCTCTATCTGGCATCAGACTAATGTCAGATAATAAAATTTACACAGATACAAGGCTACTTTATCACTATTATTGCTTTATATAATAAATACGGCTTCGTGTAAATGTCACAGTTTTTTTTTTCTTTTCTTTTTGAGACAGAGTCTCACTCTGTCACCCAGACTGGAGTGCAGTGATGTAATCTCGGCTCACTGCAACCTCCACCTCCCAGGTTCAAGTGATTCTCTGCCTCAGCCTCCTGAGTAGCTGGGATTACAGGTGTCTGGCACCAGGCCCAGCTAATTTTTGCATTTTCAGTAAGACAGTGTTTTGCCATGTTGTCGAGACGCAGGCTGGTCTCAAACTTCTGACCTCAGATGATCCACCCCTCTTGGCCTCCCAAATTGCTGGGAGTGGTGTGAGCCACCATGCCTGGCCACTATAGTTATTTTCTAACTGCTACATACAAAATTAGCTCAGAGTCACCCTTAATTCTGCCACCATTATTACAGTAATAGGTTATCAGAGGTGGCATTCAGTCTCATTTCAATACAAGTATCTCAAAACATGTATCTATGTAGAATTAATTGGCAATAAGACCCCCTATCTGGCACTTAAAATGGAAAGCATATACCAAGTAGTGATCTCTTCACTCTGCTAAGTTCCCAAGAGCAAAGGGAGTCTACCGTTGAAGATATTTATGTCTGTGTTATAGGGAAAAAGGAGAACAAGTAAGTTAGCAGAAGTCAGAGGAATCTTAGGCACTAGGAAGATTCCCCTGACAATTCCAGTAATCCAACACTTTTTAGTTAGTATAACAAATGGAGGGATAGACACAAGGTCCTGGTGAGATATTCTAACATTAAAAACTGAGGAGGTAATCAAACATTAAAAAGGCATTGTTGACACTGAATCTATGACCAATGTCATAAATATCTGGCTAGGAATAAAAATGCAAACATGTACCACTCAATCGGTTTTTCTCTCTGGACTCAAGGTAGTGCCAAATGGACAGCAAAACTGTATGTCATATTTAACAGTTTGTTTATTTATTATTATTTTTTTGAGCTAGAGTCTTGCTCTGTTACTCAGGCTGGAGTACAGTGGTGCAATCTTGGCTCACAGCAACCTCTGCCTCCTAGGTTTGAGCGATTCTTCTGCCTCAGCCACCCCAGTAGTTGGGATTACATGCACCTGCCACCACACCCAGCTAATTTTTATATTTTTAGTAGAAATGGGGTTTCACCATTTGAGACAGGGTCTCATTTTGTTACCCAGGCTAAAGTGCGGTGGTGCAATCTGAGCTCACTGAAGCCTCCTCAACCTCTCAGGTTCAAGTTATCCTTCTGTCTCTGTCTCCTAAGGAGCTGGGACTATAGATGCATATCACCATACCCAGCTAATTCTTGCATTTTTTGTAGACATGGGGTTTTGCCATTTTGCCAAAGCTGGTCTTGAATTCCTGGGCTCAAGTGATCTACCTGCCTCACACTCCCGAAGTGCTAGGATTACACCTGGCCTGACAGTTTGTTTTTCTTTTTTAAAAAAATACAATCAAAACAGAGTTAGATTGTCTACTGCTCTAAACTAGATATTAATCTGGCTCCAAAATAACAGGGTTAATCCATCTGCCAAAGAGAGGACACTTACTAAGATCTTATACAGTTTTAAATTTAAAAAAAATTTCTTAACAGACATATAAAAATGTAACTCTTCTTATGTAGACTGCTTCTCATAATTCTTGTTGCCAACAGCAAGACCTATATTAATTTCAATAAATCTGAGCTAGCACCTCGACTCCATCACTGCTTAAATGTGTTTAAAAATCTTAACATATAAAAGGTCAGTGTAGTCACTGTCTGGGAAATCTGTTAATAAAATTGGTGATTTTTCAACACAGTGCAGTGACTGTGGGTACAATTAACTCAGAATCATAAGCAACTCAGCAGTATAACCTCTTCTACATAATGGATCTTCTCCTTTTTGTAAGGCTACTTAAGATTTGAGCAGCCACATAGATGTGCTTTAAGTAATAACTGTTCTTTGGTAATGTGCATACATCCATCTTAGAAAATAAAATTATATTTTAATCACAATAGCAGAGCTTAGTCTTAAAAAGCAATGTGGAGATTCCCTCTAGATGAGTAAAAATTATTTTAAAAAGCAGAGGATCAATCATACTGGTGTGTTTTATAAGTTCACAGCAGTATTAAAAAATACTAAGTTGGGTCAAGGTGTGGGTCACCTTGTAACTTCTGAGATAGCTTACAGTCTTATTGACATGCTCTATGAAAATATTTTACAGGTTCATGGGAGACAGCTTCATTTAGAAAGAATGAGGAATAACTTTATTAGGAGTCTACAAGAATAAGCAATTGCTTTGAAAGCCTTCCTGGTCCAAAAGTTAAGGCCTCTAAACCACAAAGTGAGTTAGCCAGGTATTTGGACTGATGACATACCTTCCATGCTTCTGTGGGCTCTGGCTCAGCTTGCTCGGGTGGCTCTTCTTCCTTTTTCACTTCAGCCTTCACTGTTTCCTTCTGTGCTTTAGGTACCCCTGTTTTTTTAGCGGAGGCACCTGGGACGCCTCCTTCTGCAACCTGACTCTGAGCAATGGCGGGTGCAGAAGTGGGCCGAGGACTTCGGTCTGCCGAATCGGCAGCTGCTGCTATATGAGAAAGGGAAAAGGGAAGAAAAGGTAAAGGCCAGAGCTACTATATTATTTCAAACGCACCAGGCAAAATAATTGTGAACTCAGGATACATACGAACGTTACAACATTTAGTGGTCTATCATATAGAAGGTAAAAAATAAATCATTAGTGCTCTGTCAAGGAACTGATAAAAACAAGGAAGTTAAATGTACCCTCAGCAGAAAGGCTAAAATGTGTTAATGATCATGTTCCATGAATGCAGAATTCAGGGGAGACAAGATCAAAGAAAAGAAATAGAAAATCCATTTATCTTGTAATTTTAGTTTCAAAAGCCTACAATGTTGTCTATGGTAGAGGAAAAAAAAGGGTTAACTAAATCTATTTTCTTCCACAAGGCCTTTTAAAAATAAAGATCTGTTCATTTTTAGGTTATTTTAGGAACCTAAAAATATATTGTAGGAAAAAAGAATTAAGTCTGGTTTCTTCTGTAAGCCTCCTTGGAATGATTACAAAATAACTTGATAAATAGCCCTTCTGGTAAGACAGGACTACTTTCTGATGCTTGTAAGGACGAATCTTTGAACCAGATGCTTTCCTTTTTAATAGTAAATCATTTGATCAAAATAAAATCTTTTGACTGTCAGTCCTCAAACCTGAACAAAAATATCTTTTGAGTTCTGTCCTACTATCTGTCAGTCTTATCAATTTGTATTACAGCTCTTATTCTTTACTATATTTAGGGCAGTGGTTCTCAACTGGGGTAAATTGTCCCCAGAGAATATCTGGCAATGTCTGGAGACATTTTTCGTTGCTGCAACTGAGGAGGGGAGAGAAAGGAGGTACTGGCATCTAGTGCATAGAGGCTGAAGTTACTAAGGTTGAGAAACTTTAATTTAGGAGAAAAGTCGTATAGACTGTTTTAAAGATAATAAACTACATAGGCTTATGATAAAAGCTCAATCTTTTCAAAGACCTAATTGTTGTTTTATAATATTTTGTATCTAAGTTTTAGACAGCTTACTTCAATACAATCACTCATATACTTTTTATGGTTTTTATGTTCATTCTTTCAGGGATACAAAACATTTACACTTTGTAATAAAACTTCACTTACCTGACAGTATCTAGGAATGAAAGTATTTTCCCACATGATTTAGTATTTCTGATAACATATCATTATCCTCTTTTGTACTCAGACTTTTAATCAATTTTCATGGAAATCAATAATTTTTATTATATACTTTCCTGCATTCTTAAACTGATTATAACTGAACATAATTCATCCTGAAATTTTCAGATTTATAAACTGTAAGGATCAGTTACAGGAATTCCACGAATCTGAACAGATAAAAAGGTAAAATTTGCAACTACTTCATACAACAATATTAAGAAAGAAATCTTGGCTGGGCGCGGTGACTTATACCTGTAATCCCAGCACTTTGGGAAGCTGAGGTGTGTGGATCACCTGAGGTCGGGAGTTTGAGACCAGCCTATCAATGTGGCCAAATCTCGCCTTTTACTAAAAATATAAAAATTAGCCAGGCATGGTGGCGGGCACCTGTAGTCCCAGCTACTCGGGAGGC